CTTTTAACTCGTTGTTCCAATTCACTAGTGATAAAACTTGTATCATGGACTCAAAATTGGCTTTCTCAAAATAAGAAACTAAAATGGCATTTTCTTTCATATCAACATGAAGTAAGATATACTAACAAGTATGCAATGATCACTCTTCCCCAAAGGTCTATTCATTTCAGTTCTGGCAATTGTATCCTCATTACTGGTTTTAAAACAATAAATTGCTTCCATCCTGACCATTTGATACAGAAAACAATCTTGAATCACTTAAAGAAATCTTTCTTCTTCACAATCCTGATTAATATTTACAAAACCATTTTCCTACAATCACTGCATTCATATTCTTATTAGTGAAAACTATAATATCATTATACACTTTCTCATTGACCTCATGTCTGATCAAGTGGCCTAGAACAAAAGCTGGGCAATTAACTTATTAATCAAGTATTGTTTAGTGTCACAAAATTACCGGTTAATTCGAATTACAATTTAATGTCATGAAAATAATTAACTAATCAAAATTAGTGTTTCTGATTATTACAACTATTCAAATAATCAAAATATTGCCCTTATGATTTATCATTATGTTCAAGGTTGTTCAGCTTTATCAATTAGTATCATAACTCATGAAAATAATTACTATTATTTTTTATTACTACAACTATCCAAGTCTCATGGAAGAATAATCAATTAATTGGATATAATCAATGAAGGGAGTCGGAAACTTATTGATTAGCAAATTCCAATAAATTGCAATGCTCTACTTATAACACTTGCAAATTAAAACCTTCCACCCTCTGATTGTAACCTATAAACATTGACTACATTTATCATGTCTAATCCTAACAGGCTGCAGCTCATCCTTTATAAACAAAGCCATCTTACACCCTGTTATAAATTAGTCTTTCACTATTAAATATCTTAAAATTTGGAATTTCCAAATAATTCCAATTATTAATATTATCCAACTCATACCACAATCTTTCATTTCAACAAGAACAATGAACTCACCTATTTTATTTTCTACTTCTAACATTATAATAATAGTAATTCTTGAATTTGCTATGCTTATCTTTAAAAACATTTTAAATTATTATGTTCCAATTCTCCTATCTTCAACCTTTTCATTGCCCTAACTATCCTTTCAATTTGCTAATGTTCAATTTTTTAACCTCCATCACTAATGTACTGGTCATCAAAATACGTAAATGTCATATGGCAAAACCATGCCATTTTATGATAAACATTATGTACAACTGTAATGGACTACAACCAGGGTTAAACAAAATCAAATTTATTAAAATACAACAGAAATCCACAATAAAACTTTCACACAACTAGAGTTCAATTTTTATCACTAACAACAACAAAAAAAAAAAACTAAGTAAACCTGTGCTTGGCCAGTACTAGGTACAAATGTTAATAAAAAATACAAAATATTTCTCATGTTATTAATTTCAATAAATATCAGAGGGATTAAGATAAATAACCAGAGAAAGAAAGAAAGATAAACATCTAATTCACCAAAGAATAATACGTTTCAAAATTAAACTTCTCAATATCAAGCAATAATTAACATTAATTCTTTCTAACTATATTTCATGAAATAACTCATTTTTAAGATCAAGAAAGGCTTTTTATTTAGTGGCTGGACCACAAGTTCATATCTCATGTGACTAGCTATTACCATAAGGCTACATAATCTTTCACAACATTAATATCTGTATGTCACCAATAAGGAAAGCTTACATCAGTTTCATGATACATACATACTCATAATCAATGTGTACTAAATAGAAGGTGAGTTAGCACTTTAATATAAGTTCATAACTGAATTAAACAAAAAAAAAGTAATAATAAACGAATGGCAAACAAAACCATAAAATAAAAGAAAGTTCACTATCTTAAAAGGAAACAAATCATAAAAGTTTTCCCCTATAATTTCTTAAGTTTTCTTAACTTTTCTGTGAATAACTTCAAAGATTAAGATTTTATAGAAAAATAAAACTGCTGCTACAGAACTACAATATCTGATAATAGAAAAACCTCATCTTGCCTAATTTGTGATATTAGTTATGACTGAACTTAATAGATTCTATAATGGGTCAAACATCTGATTTTGCCACGTACACTGCTTGATGAAAGGCCAAGAAAAAATTACAGGTAGGTAACATTTTCCTATACTGAAAATGTATTTCTGCTAGATACTTACCTCACAAAATAGCTTTTCTCATCTAGCACTGAAGACAATAGGTATAGTAATTCCTGTCCTTGGTAGGAGAATATCTTGTCATACACAAGTGGTAAAATATGCTTTTTCACTACAACCAGCACCAGATCCACCAAGAACTGACATCCAGCTGACAATAGGAAGAGGGACCACAAACCTGGGGTGCATCTCTGGTCCAAAACAATGCAGCAGTGGCTATTTCTCCTCCAATCTGTGGTAGGAAGGATACTAGCCAGCACACATGTGGGGTCTTACTTAGCTGGACCATTTCCAACCAACCAGGAATGTACATCTGGAGGGTCATAGGAAGGAGGAACATTTCAGCCTGTGGGGCAAACTGCAATTATAGATATATAAGCATTCGTTACATAGCAGAGTGCTTCATCAAAAACCTGACAGCACCTGGAATTGTAAATCAGGTCTGCAGAAGGAAGGGCATCACACTATCTACACAATACTAACTGTGACCGGGCCATCTCCAACCAAAATCAGACCCATCGGGAATGTACATCCAGAGGATGGTAAGAAGAAGGAATGCCAGTGGGAAAAAATATAGACAGGAATATGGTGTAGTGCTACAACCAAAACCTGGCAACATCTGGACTTGTAAGTCAGGTACACGATAGGAAGTGCTATATGGCAGCAACACCTGCAGAATGCCACCGCCCTACTCTCAACTGAGTGGTATGATTCATCAATCAGAAGGACAGACCTCCATGGTCCACCACTACAGCAGGTAGGAACTGATAAGTGATAAGGACTCCCATACTCCATTAGAAGAAAGAGAGAAAAAAAACACGTTGGAGAGTCCAGAGGATGGCATCACCACACAGCTCAACGGGTGACCTCGACATCGCATTTTGAAAAATAGAGCTACCATGTCGACAGAGTCCATCAACCAAAACTAGGAAGCATCTGGAATTGTACATCAGGTCTGCAGAAGGAAGACTCAATGCAGCAATCTGTCTGATTTACTCATGTTAGTCTGTGAGGGTACGGCCCAGGACAAACATACTAATGAAGCAAAAAAAAACCTATGGAACACCCCATCTCTACAATGTGCATAACCCAAACCTGCAACATAATTGTTTAGTCATAGATAACAATAAAACAGAGACCCACAAACTACACCTGATGGTATCTGGAATTGTACATCAGGTCTGCAGTAGGAAGGGCTCTAATGTAATTGACATCAACAATAGTCGCAGGATGAACAGTGCAGATTTTCAAAAAAAAACCTGGTCAAGCACCCCTTGCCACAGAGTGGGATCCACAATACAATAGCAAAAAGGCCCCTGAAATGTTGAAAAGAAAAAAAAAACTTTCACAATACCAAAACGTGAAACCTTAAATAAAAAGTAAAGAAAAACTAAGTCAGTAGTGAAATGGAAAACACTGACAATCTGCAAGCAAAAACCAGTACATCTCTATAGTACTACTGCCAATCAAGAAGTGATTAACGAGTGCATATGTGAAGAGAACGCTGGTTGCAATAGGAGTAGTGTCACACTCCTATTGGTGGAGAGGTGCTGCATGATCATTTACACGTGGTTATGCAGAAGTGAGAGGTGGAAGGCTAGTGGCAGGCATTGAAATTTGACACCAATTGAAGGCAGTGCTACTCGAAAAAAGCTATTTTGTGAGCGAAAGTAAGATATCGTTTTGGAAGTCTTGTTTCCACTTCTAAGTTCTAATGTACAGTTTACTAGTTCTTGCAAACCACTAAGAATATTGATAATTCCCTGACTTAGTACCTTTTAAACTCTTAGTTAAGAACTGCACTCTGTCAAACCACAAGAGAGAGAAATTTGTACTTTAGATAGCTTAGATAATTCTTCATTCACAGCAAACAGCAAAATGTACATGAATGGGATTCTACCATTTTCTGTATTCCATCTTTCGAGCTACCAATACTACTTTATTCCTATGTATTTAAGATTTTAAAAACTTTAATCTGATTTGCAGAAAATTATACATATTACACACTAAAGTCAATAAAAAAAATTATAATTACCTGTTATGCTATTTGGTGAATGATTGTTTCTCCGATTTTTTGGAAACTAATACCATTACTACAGCATTAGCCTACTGTCAGTGTTGTGTTTGTCTAATAATATTAATAGTAGTTGACTGTCACTATGTTTATATATAATACTAATAATATCAACAATTATAATGTTACTATATTTATACATAAAACTTTAAGTTAACTCTGACTTGTGCTATACAACTATAACTGTGTCAGAATGTGTATAGTAATACTAATACTAGTGATAGTATTAATTATTATAGTATTAGTATCGATACTGATAACATGAGTACTCATATTACTTACTGAGTTATAATGATGATACTTATATTAACAACTAAAAATCAATGTGAAACTGTCAGTGTCACTAAGTTATAACTTATACCACTGTTAGTGTTAGTGTTCAAGTTTCGGGAAATTTCACCCTTCATCAGTAGCCCTGAGCAAGGTTAAATCGAAAAAATTAGATGAATCTTCATAAGTTCATGTTTGGTCACTATATGAGTAAGATACATATTAAAGATATTTAACATTATTTGTTTAACTGTTAATTAATTATTAAGCCTTACAAACGTAACGACAACGTTTAGCCTAGGCTAACCGCTATTGAATCATATAAATTACGTGTTCTGATGTTTATCCAAACAAAACTCCTCTTTACACTTGAAGGACGTTCACACAAATATTAAGCTTGTAAAAATCAAAAATTCATCTTCAAGAATCACCAAAAACTGAAAAAAAAATACTTACCAAATAATCAATTAACATGACACAGCTGCGAAATATTTGATTTGAACCGACCACGCGCCATTTTTCAGTCGTAACAATTACGCGCGCTATTGAAGGATACAAAACGTACCCGGATAAAAATACGGTTTGTTTAAAAACATTCCCCTTATGCTAAGGTTTCGGATGTTGCTGGATGTGAGGAGTGATACATCTGCTTTACAAAATAATTTAGATTATTTGGTGGGTTGGGTGAATAAATGGCATATGGCTTTTATTTATAATAAATGCAATGTAATACGCGTGGGATTATTACAATTTGAATTATGAAGATAGTTTTGATGGGAATAACCATAACACTGTTATCGAAAAAGAATCTTGGAATTCTCGTTGAACAGTCTCTTAAACCATCCCAGCAAAGTATTGTTGCTAGTGGCAGTGCAAATAGTATTTTAGGTTGTATCTACAGAAATATCAAATACAAGTCTAAAGAGGTTACACTTTCATTGTGTAGGTACCGATTTAGGCTAAATTTGCAGTATTGTGTTCAATTTGGGTTAATTTATATATGAAGGATATTGAATTGTTGAAAGTGGTTCAGAGGAGGGCAACTAGAATGATATCTGGGATAGAAAAGTTGTCATACTTGGACAGGTTAAGATCTCTGTAATTATTTTCTCTTTAAATTCGAATAATTAGCTGGTTACTATTATTAAGAAGAAAGTTACACAATGAGTTCTCTGTGCTCTTCTCACCAAGGGTATCGAAACCCGATTTTTTTAGAAGAGTTAGAGGAGTTCTGATTAAAGTGGTTAAGGTTGTTAAGGGAATTGATAATGTTGATGCATCATTTGCTTTTTGTACTTAATGGTGAGACTGGAAGGAACATAAATACAAATTTTATGAGGGTATGAGTCATTTTCAACTAAGAAGGCTTTATTTTTTTCATAGTGTGGTTGACTTTTGGAATTGGTTTTCTTCAGATGTGGTGGATACAGTTAATGTAAGTAAAGGGAAGGCTTGATAAATATTTGAATAATAAAGTCTGGCTTTGATGTTTTATTTTTATTTTATAGTTTAATATAGTGGATGGGACAACCTAGATAGACCAGCAGATCCCTTGTTGTCCATACATTATTTTTAAAATGGTGGCCACAATAAACACAGTTTGTTTGCAAACATGTCTCTTCTTATACGCTGAAAATGAAGGCCACCATTAGCACAGTTTCTGAAAATATACCCATTATCATAGACTGAAAATAATGGTTACATCACAATTATCTTGTTCTCAAAAAACCCCGAAAAAGTATCAAATAAGCACTTTGCTCCAGAAATCTTCACAAACACATACATATAATGTTATAACATGTCCTTTCGTTGAGCAGGTTTTTAAAAATTGTTTGTCAAAAATAGTACGAAGTCCACTCCACATAATTATAACAAACTAACTTATTTATTTCTTAAGTTTTACTACAAGCTAATATAATTGTACACAATTGAACTTATAGACCTAAGTTCACAAACAACGTTTTCATATTCTACAGAAATTTCCTCAGTAATGGTACTACGTCTAATGTACAAATATATTTACTTATATAATTGCACAGCTAATCGTTTTAGTAACTGAATATATGCGATGATTAACATTATCTGAATACTTCGCTAACATTCAATCATTGAAAGAACAGAGAAATTGATTCAATGCTTCACTGATTCTGGTATTTATGATGCATCCTTGGTTATAGATATTTCATAATGTCACTTGATAATATAATTTGCCAACATTCTAGATATTGTAGGGCTACTTTTATAAACGTTCCAAATCTAGCGTCATTCTCATGTTTGCAGCTCCCTCTAACAAACAACTAAATTTAAACATTGAAGACATGGATTGTGAAGTCCCTTGGATAATTATAAAACAAAAATAAAACAATACATTAAACTTTCCATTCACCAAGTCTTTTGGATAGATTTCTCTTCCGAAGCTCTTGGTATGCAGTTAAGGTGACCTATTATCTCTTATCATCACTGGCTGTCCTGTGAATTTATAATTGCTCCATCTGCGATGACCCTCTGGAAATAGTCTCGACAAGAACCCTGAGTTCATCATCAGGTTGAATTTCCACATGCGATTTCTTCTCTGGAGTTACTCATTTGGCCATTCTCTTACTGATATGCTTCCAAAAACGATTATGGTGAATTTCTTTGGCTTGAAATCGTCTATCTTTCAGGATTCTGTAAACCACATCATTGATTCTTTTCAGTACAACATGTGGTCCTTCTTAACTCCTGCTTAACTTTGGAGTTTGTCATTTCTTACAGCAGGGATTGCACAGTAATATCATGTCATCTCAAAGGAATCCCTTTTTTTTGTCAAAATTAAAATCATAGTCACTGTTTATCTTTTATCATTAGATAAGTGTTTTTCAGTATGTCATCAATGGTGTTCCTTACTTTTACTACATGTTCTGTTCAATAACTCATAAGTAGTAGTGGAATATCTTGATCATACATTTTCTAATGTTCATCCACATAAAAGACTAATTGATTTTTAACAAAATGTATGGTTGCATCTCTTTAACATGCTACCAGAAGGTTGTTGTTCTAGAATTTTTATTCAAAGTTCTATCTCTGATGTGAGTGAAGTTCCATACGTATGCCAAGTCTTGAAATTAAAATTTTGATGAATTGTCTCATCAGAGTTTCTGCTTAGAACCAGCATATGGTTCTGGTAATTTAGTGAAATACTCACTCACTACCATAATATATTTATTTTCAAGGCGATGTTACTCTATGGCAGATGACCAAGTACATTAACAGCAATTCTCTCAGCTGGTGCACCAACATTGTACTGTAGTAGCTGCCCATGCTGTTTCTTTCATGGACCTTTATGTTCACAGTATAGTTCATACATTTTATACAAATTCTCTACAGATCCCCATCACCCAACCCTATAGTGTCCAGTCAATGGAATGTTTTGAAGATGATGGAGTGCTTCAGAATGTAGATACTGTGGAAGTACCAACATTAGTCATTGTTTCTGTCCAATGATATCTTCCCATTTCTGACCTAAAAAGTCCTCTTGTAAGCATAATAAATTTACCAGGAGGAATTTTCTGCGATATTACTGTTTAACTGAATAATTGTTTTCAAAATCATATCTTTTGCTTCAGTTGATTGTTAGGCCACATTAGTTCTTCATCATCACTTATGGATATAACATCTTCAATTATACTCTGTTGTACTTCAAGTTGGTTGTTTTCACTATCTTGTTCCTCTTTCTTTTCAGTGTTTACACTTTTCATGAATACATTGTCTTTAGGATAATGCATCAGTGCTTCCTTGGTTCCAGCCAATGCAACTTATAATATTAAAGTCATACCCCTGAAATTTCTTGACCCATCCTGATATCTGGCCTTCTGAATTACGAAAACCTAACACTCACTTGCAGCATTATCTGTCTGAAGTGTCATCTTTGTCAATATAGATAATGATGGAAATGACTTATGGCTCAAACAACATTCAGTAGCTCTTTTAAGGTTCTACGATATCTCCTTTCTGCAGCACTCACTGCCTTGCTATAGTAGGCAACAACATGTTATTTTCCATGTTGTACTCGTGATAAAAGTGCTCACATTATAAAATCTCTGGCATCTGTCCCTAAATTGAGTGGATCTTTAAAAGTTGGACATGCTAATAGAAGAGTAGAGGTCAATTCTTTTTACAGTTTATTAAATGCTTGTTCACTATCAGCAATACAACAACACTTGTTTGGCTATCCAAGTAATTTGTTTAGAAGATGACCTATATATTAGAGAATAATTTTTTACAAAATGGCGATAGTTAGAACATAATTTAAGAAATCCTCTCACCTCACACAGATTAGCTGGTGCTGGTCCTTTCTGTACAGAGTAAACCCAAGAGTCTCACCAATTCTCACTTCTTGGGATTTAGTCTAAGATTCTTTTTGCTCAACTGATCCAGAACTTTCCCTAGCCCATCATAAGCATTATCAAAGATCTTTTCATGTGCGATTATATCATTCAAGTAGGCGAGAACAATGTTCCAGGGCAGTTGAGACACATCACACTCCATTAATCACTGAAATACAGCAACTGCATTATATAATCCTAATACTAATGCAATATATTGGCACAATTCATTTCCTACAGTAAAGGGTGCCCTCTCTCTACCTACTTTGTCAACTTGCTCTTGCCAATATCCAATCTTAAGACCCAATATTGAAAATCATTTTGATCCAGACAGAGTATATGAAATAGAGTTAATTCTTGGCAGTATGTAGGCATACTTATTTGTGACTTCATTCACCACCTGGTAGTCCACAGAGAACCTTGTGGATCCATCATTCTTCTTCACAAATACAATATGTATCAACCACAGAGTAGCCTCAGCCTATTTTTCAAGTGGGAATTATTTGGCTAACTGGTGTATTGGGACTGCATCTCCAGTATCAGTCATGTGAGATATTTTACTTGTTTGACATGAGTCATGAGGTCCACAAGAGAAGGTTTCTTGATACTCCATGAGCAAGTTATGTAATCATTGACATTGATCAGCTGTCAGATATGGTTCTTGTAAATGAGGTGGTAAGCTGCCTTTATGTAAAGATTTGACAACAGATCTCTTACATCTTTCTTCAAAGGTGGCTACTTCTGATGTTCTTTGAAGTAGAAAAATAATTCTTGTATAGCCTCACATCTGTAAATGCCCCATCCAGAATTGATTCGAAATTTATGCTTTGTTATGTTTTATGAGCATAATGATGACATATTTAATCTTGAAATCCATGACAGTTCTTCCAACCATTAATCCTTCTATTACACCCTAATCACTAGATGTAACTTTATTCCTGATGACTCTAGGTATTAGTACTTCACCTTTTTGTGGTACAAAAACTGTTCTCCTTGTTGTCACTGTAAGGTCATTATCTAGTGTAGTTATTGTCATGTAGTGAACATCGATGTCTTGGTCATATACTATTGAAGATAGCTTAACTCACATCTATGCCTCCACTTAAGTTAGTTCCTCGATGTCAATTATCCATACATCATGTCGTTGAAAGAATATTCCTACAGTAAGGTTAACTTCCAGCT